GGAGGTGATCCTGCAGATGGAGGTGATCCTGCAGAGGGAGGTGATCCTGCAGAGGGCACCACAGTGCTGAGCTGCAGTATAGACCCCCCCCAGAGGCTGCAAGTCAGGGAGTGCTTACATGGCGGGTCAGGCAGAGGCCATCGTTCACAAGTTCATACATAAATATTGAATGAGCATCCTGGATGCTGTTCCCCATGCTGGGCATACATCAGTGAGCAACACAGGTGTTCCTGGAATGAAGTTGACATTTCGGTGGTGGAGGCAGTCAGCAAACAGACAATGACAAAATCATTTCAGTTGGTGGTAACTGCTAAGAAGAAAGCAAGCAAACAAGCCGAGCGGGTGACAGAGAGAAGGTTCCAGGAGATGAGGGCTTCTCTGCTGGCATAGGTGGCTTGGGGAGGCTTCACGGGGGAGCTGGCATCACGGGAAGGAAGCAGCCTGGTGGGGAACGGAGGAAGCATATCCAGATATCCTGGGTTGAGCTTGGGTGCAGAACAGAAGGCCAGTGGGTGTAGATCTAGTTGGGGAGGCCGGCAGGGCGGGATCCTGTGTAGGCTTGTGACCGGAAGGAGGAGTTTGGGTTTTCATCTAGGGCAGCCAGGAGCTGCTGGGGAGATCTCAGCTGCGCAGTGATGGGATCTGAGTAACAGGTCGTAGTATCTGTTAACCACACAGATTTCTAGAGACACCCCCCTGTGGCTTCCCTCCTGCAGATCCGTGAGTGTTCATATTGGCTCATCCATCGTTCCCACTGCTGTCTGGTGGGGCGTCTGGCTGGGCTGACTGCAGGAAGTACAGGGGACAGGGGAACATGTTAAACAGCACCACAGGGCCTAGCCAGCCAGGTCCAGAAAGTGGGAAACTCCACAGGACAGGGGACCTCGTTCCTTTAGTAAATGGCAGCAAATGAGAGGGAGAAAGGTCTGTAGAGAGCAGAAGAGACTTAAGAAATGTATCTGTTGGAGCGGAGTGTGACTCTTGTTCGGGTCCTGGTCTGCACACACCAACTCTGAAAAGACACCTTGGAGACAATGGGGCGGGGGGACATTTAAAAACATTAAAAAAAAGCCAAGCCTGCTGCTGTCGAGTTGAGTCAGACTCGTAGCGACCCTATAGGACAGGGTAGAACTGCCCCATAGGGTTTCCAAGGAGCGGCTAACTGCCAAGCTTTTGGTTAACAGCTGGGTTCTTAACCACTGCGCCACCAGGGTTCCAGACAGGGTACTAGATGATGATAAAGAATTCTTGTTAATTTTGATGAGTGTGATAATGGTGTCATGATTGTCTTTTTCAGACCTTATCTGTTAGAGATAATAAGCTAAAATGTTTAAAGGTGAAATGACTTGATGTCTGGGATTTACTTCAAAATATTCTGGCAAAAAAAAAGGTATAAGGAGAGGGGAAATTGGGAGTGACCGCTAACAGATCTGGGGTTTTTAGGGGAGTGATGGAACTGTTCTGGCGTTAGATAGCTGATGATGGTTGCACACCACAGGAATATACTAAAAACCACCAAGTCATACTTCAAAGTGTAGCTGTGGATGGGCTGACGAAACGGGACTGGCAGACAGGTGATGGCTGCGCAGGCTGGTGATGTACGTGGAGGCTTCACCATGCTCTTTCTTCTACGTTTGAGTGTGTTTGAAATGTCCATGATATAAAGAAAATTTTTAAAGGAGTAAAAGTGCTCCAAACAGTCATGTGTCGTGTTCTCTGGGAGCAGTGACGCGGCCGTCACGTCTTACACTGTCCTTCTCTTCCCTCTGCAGCATGGCGGGGAGGACGCCCCTGCGGCCAGCCGGCCCTCCACAGCACCTGCTGCTTGCTCCGCCCTGCTGAGCCCTCGCCTGGAGCCCCCAGGACAGCACCTGCCTCCAGAGGCTGTCCCGGCTCAGCGGTCCACAGCGATGGTGGAGAACTGGACCCCACAGGCTCACAACCTTCCCGGCAGGCCTCAGGGGCCATCTTCCTCCATCCTGGGACTGGCAGTCCTGAACAATGGCTGAGGGCCGGGGGACCCCATAGAGTCACACTACAGCTCGCGGCAGCCAGTAGCACTCTCGTGGACTATGACCACCTATCGGCCCATTCCCAGTGATGGCGTGGACCTGGCAGCCAGCTGTGGGGCCAGGGGGGCTGAGGTCCTCCCGGGGCCACACCCGGGGGACTATGCTCCCATGGGATTCTGGGTCCAGAACGGCAGCGTGCCCCAGCCTGTTGTTGAGAGCCCAGCCGCTGCCACCACCCGCCTCAGCGCCACCACCCCAGCGGTGCCCAAGATGGGCGTGCGCGCAAGGGTGGCCGACTGGCCACCCAAGCGAGATGCCCTGAGGGAGCAGAACATCCCAAGCCCCTCTCAGGATGCAGACGGCACCAAGGCTGCGCAGGTAGCGCAGGTCCCCCATGCCGTGAGGAGCATACAGAACGGGCAGCCCGCCAGCACCCCAGCCTCCTCACGGCCCAAAGCCTCCCACCAACTCTCCCGGAGAAGGTCCAAGGACGTGGAGTTTCAGGACGGATGGCCCCGGTCCCCGGGCAGGGCCTTCCTGCCCCTCCGGCACCGCAGCAGCAGTGAGGTCACCCTCAGTGAGTGTGATGCGGAGGAGGCAGGGGAGCCACGGGGGCCCCGGCTCACAGGGGCCCTGCCCCTCTTCCGTGAGTACGGCAGCACGTCCTCCATCGACGTGCAGGGTGTGCCGGAGCAGAGCTTCTTCGACATCCTTAATGGGTTCCGCAGCGGACAGGTGGAGCCCCGGGGCCCCCAGGACCTCACTCAGCTCCTGCCGGTCGACGCCAGCCTGCACCTTGCAGGGAGCAGCAGCAGCGGAGCCAAGGGGGACCCCCGGAATGGGCAGCCCCTAAAGGACGGTCTCCTACCGCTGCAGCCGCTGAAGGAGAAGGCCCGGAAGAAGCCCGTGCGGGGCCTCGGTGCTGCGGACACAGTGGACTCGTCCATTTTCCGCAAGCTGAGGAGCAGTAAGCCGGAGGCCGAGGCCGGGCGGTGCCCAGGGGAGGCCGAGGAGGGTCGCAGCCCCCCGGAGGCCAGCAGGCCGTGGGTCTGCCAGAAGAGCTTTGCCCATTTCGACGTGCAGAGCATGCTGTTTGACCTGAACGAGGCGGCCGCCAACAGGGGGTCGGTGGCCCAGAGGCGGAACACCACCACCGGTGCCTCCGCCGCCTCCGCCGTGGTGTCCCTGACGGTGTCGCAGGCCCACAGCCTGGGGGGCCTGGACCCGGCCTTCACCAGCACAGAGGACTTGAACTGCAAAGAGAACCTGGAGCAGGACCTCGGTGACGACAACAGCAACGACCTGCTGCTCAGCTGCCCGCACTTCCGCAACGAGATCGGCGGCGAGTTCGAGCGCAACGTGAGCTTCTCCCGGGCCTCCGTGGGCTCCCCGGGCGGCGGTGGCGAGGGCCGGCCAGCAGAGCCTGCGCTGAGCGCCTACCGCACCAACGCCAGCATCTCCGTGCTGGAGGTGCCCAAGGAGCAGCAGCGAACGCAGAGTCGCCTGCGCCAATACAGCATCGAGCACGTGGACCTCGGTGCCCGCTACTACCAGGACCACTTTGTGGGCAAAGGTGATGGGGGCGCCCCACCACTCCCTCCCTCCCTCCCTCCCGAGTGTCAGGGCCTGCTCTGAGGGTACCTAGGAAACGGGACCTAGCGCATCGCGGCCGTGAGGCTTCAGTGAGCCAGCCGCATCACCCGCTCAGCCCGGTCTGGTGCACGGCCAGCATTCCAGAAACCTTTAGCCGCTGGAGACAGCAGATTTGCATTTACTCAGCAAGTACGTGTTTGGAACAACTACGTGCCAGGCACCTGCTAGAACCTAGGGATACAGCGGTGACTAGGTTCAAACAAAAACCCCTGTCTTCCTAGAGGTTACGTTTTAATGGAGTAAGACAAATAATAAAACAAGATCGATACGTAAAAATCTATAGTGTCAGAGGGTGGTAATCGCTGTGGGGCCAAGTCAGGCAGGAAGGAGGGAAGGCAGGTTGGGTGGGCGGGCTGCAGTTTCTAACTGGGAACCAGCAGGCAGGGCCTCAGAGGTAGGTGCCACCTGAATACTGAGCCGGAGGAGGTGAGGGGGAAGGAGGTGAGGGACAGCCACGTGGGGGTCTGGGGAGCCTGTTCCTGAGGTAAGAAGCAGCAAGTACAAAAGTCCCAGAGCACTGGAGGACCTGGAAGGAGGCTAGTGTGGCTGGGGCAGAGTGATGAGGGAGAACAGGAGCTGAGGCAGAGGTGACGGGGCAGGTTGTGAGAGACTTTATGGGCCAGGGGAGGACTCTCGCTTTTACCGCGAATGGAGTGGAGCCACTGCAGAGTTCTGAGCAGGGGAGAGCTGCAGGTTCCCTCTGGCTGCACGTGGGAAACAGACTGGGAAAGGGTGGGAGCAGGGAGACCAGGGAGGAGGCCGCTCCCATCGTCCCTGCAGGAGTGGGGAAGAAGCAGGCTGGTTCTGGGTGTGTTTGGAAGGTGTCAGCACCAGGGGGAGCTGGGCTTCACACATCACACGCTTCACACAGCACTGCGCAGAGTCCCCACTCTCAGAGGCCAGGCAGGAAACAAGTGCGGGTGAAGCAGCCCCCACCCCTGGCTCAGCTCCAGCTGACTGGGTCATGCAGGAAATGCAGACAAACCCAGTACTGCCAGCTTTTCCAGGGTCTTTTTGTTGTGGTTGTTTTCACAATACCTATTTTATTGTGTTTGTGGTGAAGGTTTACACAGCAGTTTAGGTCCCGTTCAACAATTTCTATACAGATTGTTCAGTGACATTGGTTACATTCTTCACAATGCGGGAGCATTCTCACTATTGCCATTCTAGTTGTTCCCTTTCCATTAATCTAGTTTCCCTGCCCCCTTACATTCTCATATTTGTTTTAACGTAATCAGTAACCAGATGATTTTGTAAAGGAGTACAGTACTCACAGGTGATAATCCTTTATTTTGTGAGCCAATCTGTTATTTAGCTAAAAGGTGGCCTCGGAGCTAGTTTCAGTTCAAGGTTTAAAGAGTATCTCAGGGCATTAATCTGGGGAAGTCGTCCAGTCTCAACCGATCTAGTAAGTCTGGATTACTTAAAAACTTGAGATTCTCTTCCACATTGTTCTCCCATTCTATCAGGATCCATCTGTTGTGGTCCTGATCAGAACGGTCGGTAGTGGTAACCAGGCACCATCTATTTTTCTGGGCTCAGGGTAGATGAGGCGATGGTTTGTGTAGACTCTTAGTCCTGTAGATTCGTTTCTTCTTTAAGTCTTTGGTTCCTTTTTTCTCTTTTACTCTGGACAAGTAGGGACCAACAGCTGTATCTTAAATGGCTGCTTGCAAGCTTTTAAGACCCCAGACACTAGTCACCAAACTAGGACACAGAACATAACTTTATGAACTGTATTGCGCCAGTCGACCGAGTTGGCCCCCAAGACTGTGGTCCTAACCCTTCAAACCCAGAAATCCAATCCCGCGGGATGTTTGGTTATGTCTAAGAAGTGTCCTTAACTGCCCCCAGTGTGCTTCATTGTATATATGCATCTGTATATACACACACACGTACATACACACACACATGTACATACACACACGTACATACACACACACGTACACACACGTACACACATGTACACACACATGTACATACACACATGTACACACGTACATACACACGTACATACACACGTACACACATGTACATACACACATATGTACATACACACATATGTACATACACACACATATGCATACACCTGTATCAGACAAACCTGTTGCCATCGTGCCAATTCCTACTTGGCGACCCTGTGAGACAGGGTAGAACTGCCCCACAGGGTTTCTAAGGCTGTAAATTGTCACAGAGGTGGACTGCCACATCTTTCTCTCCTTGGGTTCAAACTGCCAACCTTTTGGTTAGCGGCCGAATGCTTTAACCACTGTGCTACCAGGACTCCTATACCTGTAGATACTCACATACGCACCTGTATACATATATGCCTACCGTAAACCCGTTACCATTGAGTCAGTCCGACTCATAGCGATCCTATAGGACAGAGTAGAACTGCCCCCCGTAGGGTTACCAAGGAGCGGCTGGTGGATTTGAACCACTGTCCTTTTGGTTAGCAGCCGTAGCTCTTAACCACTGTGCCACCAGGTCTCCATATGCCAAATGAGGGTAAGATATGCACAGCTTGACAAGGTAAACGATGTCACTGATACGTACACGATACCTACATATATATTTTTTGGTTGTTGTTACAAAATTATATATGTGATAGCAATTACCAAAAGATCCTTTTTTCCTGTGTACCGTGGTCAAGCTGTGCGCATTGTACCCTCATTCGGTGTTCCTTTCCCATCATCGAAAATAACAGTTGTCCACTAGCTAGAGAGGGAATTGCCTCTTCTGTCCCACGACCCCCATCCCTGATAACCGCTAATGAACATTAGTTTCTGTATATTTTCTTGTTCATATCCATAGAACTTAGAATATACAGTATTTGTTTTTTTGTGATAGACTTATTTCGCTGAACATGTCCTCCAGGTTCATCCGCATCGTTAAGATGTTTAGGGAACTCATTTTTCTTTACCGCTGAGTAGTGTCCGTCGTAGGTAG